TATTTCTGAATTTCGAATTAAATATTTAAAAAATCGGATCACTCATCATATAGCTGCCATAGAAACGGTCGAAAAATAAAATGTAAATTAATAGGAACAAAATTATATCTTTGTTGATTTTTATTACATTCTCTTCTACTCTGGTATATGACTATTTTTAGATATTTCCGAATTTCGATTTTAATTTTAAAAAGATCGAACTACTATTTTATAGCTGCCATAGAAACGATTGAAATTAATAGAATGATCTGCAAGGGCTTGCCAAAGCTAGCTTTCTTTCTTGTCTTTGTGTGCACTTATCCGATCCTTATGGAATTCGTTTTCTCATGGTTTACCATGCCTTTAACCATTTTTAATGACAAAAAGTTAAGTTTTAAGTCTTTTAAAAATTTCTGAATTACAAAAGGTAAAAAGTAAAGTTTTAATCTATTAAAAAATTAAATAATAAAAAATTATTTAACCCTCCATTTAATAATAAATAAAATGTGAAAAAAATATCCAAATCGGTTCGGTTTGTAAAAGAACCGCCATACATGTAATGGTCTTTACATGGTACACGAATATACCTTCAAAACAGAGTTTCAAGCTTACATTCAAAAACAACCCTGCACATAATTCGTTAACCTTGGGCAGCCCAGCTTACTCGTTTCAACCGAATGTCGGAGTACATCTGCCAGATTGTTAACAATCTGGCGTTTTTCTAAATACTAACATAATTTTGTCATTATTTACCTCACTGGTTTGTAATTCGTTCAACCCTCAGCTCCCCCCTTAAGTTGAGGAATACCGTAATCATTTGTTTCGCTTTCTGTTTGCAATTTAAGCGTGGGCATGTAGTAACAAAGGCATTAAGCTTAACAATCTGTACTTTATAACTTTTTTGCTAACCTTATTATCTCTAACGAAATGGTCTCTAGGGGCAGGCTCCTTTTCAATTATGCTATTCACACGCATTCTATAATTGAATAAGGGAGTTTTCACGTTAGGAATGAGCGACGGTCTGATTCCAATTTATATGGAATAAATTTGTAGTTAATGTTAATACTAATACATTTGTGCAACACCACTTTTTATAGTTGCTACTTATAATGTCAGCGCGTGTTGGCAATGATGCGACTTGATAGAATTGTTTTAAAATCAATAATTTACATTAAATAACACGTAATAATAACACTATGCAACATCTAAAATTTACCTCGATGGATTATCTATTTTTGATTTTTGAATTATCGATAAAATCATTATCGTATCGATAATATCGATGTTTTCAAGGAAAGCAAAGACAAATTAAAAACAATTTTATAATTCTGTTAATACCACGTATTATTATTATATACATGCATAATACACTTGCATTATTATTAATATTATTATTAGAAAAAATCGCGGTTAATTTATTTAATTTTAATTTCCGGTTTTCATTATTAAAATGCAATTTCAGACTAAAGGATCCTCCTTTTTAGAACTCGTGGTTTATTTATTTCTGATCATTGAGTTGAGTTGCGTCACATGTCTAGAAAGGCACCAATTCTTAGTCAAAGACATTCACGGCTTCTTAAGAATTTTTTTTTTAAATATATTATGAGGAAATACTTATGTAAAAATACTGAAGAAGAACAAATTCCTCCTCTTCTGAAGAATTCCCGGTTGCCTTTTTTTTTTGATCCTTTGCCAAAATTGCTCAAACGGTCTTCGTTTTGTTTGTTGTTGGTATTAAAAGAACGAGAGTTCCTCCTTTCCCCAAGAAATCGCGGTTCTTTCATTTTCGATATTATGCCACAACCTATGGTTATTTTCCCGTACTTTAAATGATACTATACCATAAAGAAGTAAAAATTCCTCCTCTTCAAATCGCTCAAAGGCTATGAATTCGCGGTTTCTTGAGATTTTTTAATAGCGGACAGAAGGTCGGTAGCTGCAACCAAGACTTTGTTTTTGGTACTAAAAAACCCAAAGTTCCTCCTCTTCCCAAGAACTCGCGGTTCTTTTATTTTCCATTTTTTGCCATAACCTATGCCATTTTCGCCTACTTTTAAGTATTTCATAATATCTATGGGACCAAAGAAGAATAAAATACCAAAAACTCGCGGTTCTTGTATTAGATAAACATTGATGTTTGAAAATTATCAGAAGTATCGATAATATCGATACTGACATCGATAATTTTTAAGCTCTAGTCTCAGAGCAAACGGATTCATGGTTTGTTTTGATGTTAAAGTTTTTTAAAGTATACGCTCTTTATCTTTCAAATTTAAATTAATTGTAGTATTTTTTTTAAGGGAGAAATAAATTATATAAAACAGAGTCAAAAAACATAAAAGCATATAGCTGCGGTCGAAATAGTAGTAGCGTTGCCGTCCTGTGATTTAAAAAGTTTGTTGTTTTTTTGGAAAACGAAGTTTAACTTGGGAATTCGTAACGAATTCAAAAATATAGCATCCATCGAAGTAAATTTAAAAAGCGTTCATTTTGTTGCATAGTGTAATAATAAACAATTCAGAGGGTAAGTGGACACGAATTATTAATTAAATAAGACTAGCCGAGTCGATATAAACATGTCCGTCTGTCTGTCTCGGAAACTTCAAAAGGTAGAAAGTTCGGATTACCCACACATATTCTTAGGCTTCCTACGCAGCGCAAGTTTATTTCAGCCGGGCGCCACGCCCTCTCTAACGCCCACAATTACCTTAAACGATTTTAAAAGGTGTCTGGCACCACCTCCTTTAAAGACTTCCGAGAAGTAAAAATGCAATTTTATAGTGTTTATTAATACATCAAACTATTTATTAAAAAGTTATGCGCAATGAAAATTGTATATCTACATCTCTCTCGCACTGCTACACACAAAAAAAAACTTGGTAAAATCAACTGTAATAATTGTCAAACAGGCCCCAACCAGCAAAATTGTCAATTCTACTAAGTAAATAGTTATTCCACAACAACAAAATACACACAATTAGCAAAGACACAAACCCAAAGCAAAAACAAAATACACGTAACTATATTAATAGTTACGTAACTAACTTTTTTGGTAAATTTTACCAAGCAAATTTTTTTGTGTGTACCTGAGTGACGGGTTTCAGATAGTCGGAACACCCGACTATAGCGTTCTCTCTTGTTTAAATTGGTTTCAATTGTTATTTAGTCTAAGTTCATTAAAAATGGCAGGACCCAAGTTAAAACGAACTAAACTTGATTAAAATAACATAAATAAATAGTTTCTAAAAGTTTGGACCTTTTTTTTTGAATTATGCAAATCGAGCTTTCTGCTCGCAAGATAAAATAGATTTCGTGTTTTTTTTCTAACGCCAAAATACGGCAAAAAAATGATGATAGTGCCAAAATAGGTATGAGAATAAATATTGGAAGCAATGTGCTTTGCAATTAAGTTGGTACTGTGCACTTCAAAAACTTAAAAAAAACTGGGGTGCCCGGGTTGTAGAAAACGTCCCACAAAACTACTTGAAATCTAGTTTTTTGACACTGTTGCACCACCTATAAAATTATGATTTTTTTGTATTAATTCAATGGTTAAAAAACACAGGAACTGTAAAAAATTGGTAAGGTTGTTAAAACTTGAAAGTGGTCAAAATTTTTTTCGAAAATTTTAATCGCGGTTTTCTGCACTTTTAAAAAGTCTTAAAAATTCCAAGCTTTTTTAGCGAGGATCTATTTCTTAACCCTTTGATTTCTCATCACAAATTTTCAGCTAAGCGTTTCCGATGGTCAGATATAAGCTTAAATACGTTTTTGTATTGCAGACGATTACTCCTCAGCCAAATGTCCAATGGCTTTGAAAATTGGTTTCCATATTCTTCTTCTTATTATTTACCATCGCTGATTCAAAATTTTTAAAAATCGCTGGGGGCCTTTTTTAATAGGTAAGTCTGCTATGCCCTTTGTAAAGTCTGTCTTTGTCTGAGCAAAGACACTTAGGGTGTTCAATTGCGTTGCAAACTTTGTAAAGTGTAAAAGTGTATATCAATTCCAACAACAATTTCTATACAAAATAGTTTTAAAGGCCTACTTTTGAACATTTTTTTGTATAGAAATTGTTGTTGGAACTGCCTTACACTTTTACACTTTACAACGTTTGCAACGCAATTGAACACCCTAACTTTGTTTTGTTTTACTCGTGTCAGGTGTCCCCACCTAACTAGATGGGGAACATATGAAATTGTCTCAAAATAACATTTGGAGACAGTTGATACCAAAACGCATTTTCAGAAAAGGTCCTCTTCTTTTAAAGAATTGGCGGTTGATTTGTTTCTAAACATTCAGTCGAATTGGCTCGAATTAGTTTTTAGAAAACTAACAAATCTTAATCAAGTGCCGCCACGGCCTCGTGGAATTTTTTATCCGCGGGGGTGAGCGTAACTCTCTTTGGGCAAAAATCATATGGAACTTGTGTTGATGCTCACGCAGATTCCAACCGAATTCCGCCCGAAGAGATTTCTGTGTCATCCCTATGCTGGAAAATCACATTTAATATGGAAAGGCACTTTCGTTAGATTCTGAAAGGCAAAGTGTCTCAGGAAAACAGGTTCCGAAACAGAGCAAACCGAAATGCTCAGTGTCTGAGCTAGACACTTTGAAACAAAAAACACTTTGAGAGTGTCTCTCTATAACTTTTTCCATAGTGTCCTAAGGTAACAGATTGGGGACACTTTTGGGGAGTTCTGCTAAAAGCTTAAGTTATAAGGCAAATAAGGCCATCTAAAACGGAAGGGACAAAAGCTGGCATATAAAATTTAATGAAGAGATTGAATAAAGTTATTAGCAGCATGTCATTTGGTGGGTTCGAAGTTCGAACTTGGGTTTGCGCTCTTCTGAGCTATCATTTAAATTCAAAGTCGCAACGCCTCTACCCGCTAGGCTACGCTGTAGTCCGAAATTGATTTAAAATATAAGGACGACCAGTGCTGCGCCATTACCATTTAAGAAAAACATATCAGTTACCTACAAAAAATAAAAACAAAATTTTTTAAATATATTTTCAGCAGTTTTTTTAAATGGCTTTAGCTGAAAGTCTTCAAATGACTCCCGTGTCGGTGGCTCCCTTTAATGGAATGGAAAACAGTCCAACTTCTCAAAGGTCAAATCATGTACGTATTTCATTATTTTTAATTCACAAGAATAATTAGCCATGGTACAATTTCCCTTAAACACACACTTTTAAACGCCTTTGAATAATGATGATAATGGAAATTAGAGCCAGCTGTATGTATCGCTAAGATTTTCAAAAGAAAGTGGGTAACAGGCATGCCATTAAAGTGAACATAGAGCAAACTAATATTCAAACAAAATACAAAGGTAGCTTTGGCGAGCCAAAATTTATATACAATGCCCCTGCAAACTGTGGTCAAAAAAGTACAAATACAAAATAAGATCGGTTAGAATCGGCTGCCAGGGTACAAAATTAATGTTTAAAATTTTTCCTGCAAGAACTGTAGGACATATTTATACAATGTTCATATTTTTTTGCGTGCATACCTACTTCAAGACGTGTGTGAAGGTTTTAATTCGGTAACTTAATAGCCTTTATGTCAAATCTCTAAATTAAAACGCGAAAAACGGACATTTGCTAAGTTTTGAACAATTTACTCTACTTTTTTAATTAACAACCTTATAAAAACAATGATATCTGATAAGCATTTTCCCATACAAATACGTTTGGAAAGAAAGTGGCTGGCAGGTTTGACAAATTGTTAGCGTGCAAAAGAAATTGAAGCAAAACAAATCTATCCCTTGAGGAATCATTGGATACGTGCTTTGATTTTTGTTTGTTTATTTTACAAGAAATGGGTAACAGTTTAAAAGGATTTACGGTTAAAGGTTGAACAATGTCTATAATGTGTTCCGTTATAAAAAGTTGTTACATTTTGTAATGGAAAAAATGTTATATAAAGATTAGACATAATTGTTCAATAATTTAAAAACAAAATTACTTTTTGTGCAGATTTTACAACATTTTTTATTTCTTCGCGAACTAGTATCTCAGTTTTGAATCTACCTGGATACAACTTTCCCAAAAGTCTTTATTCTATAGCTCCCATAGGAATAATCTGAAAAATAATGGTTACACACAAAAAAATTTGATTGGTAAAATTGACCAACAAAGATAGTTACGTAACTATTAAAATTGTTACGTGCATTTTGTTTTTGCTTTGGGTTTGAGTCTTTGCTAATTGTGTGTATTTTGTTGTTGTGAAATGACTATTTACTTAGTAGAATTGACAATTTTGCTGGTTGGGGCCTGTTTGACAATTATTACAGTTGATTTTACCAAGTTTTTTTTTTGTGTGTACAAATTACATCTTCTACTTGTCTTGCTTTTACTTATCGTCTTCTACTTTTGGGAATATACCTCTCTAATATTCCTGAATTTCGAATTTATTATTAATCGGACCACTACATCCTAAAGCTGTCATAGTACTTGGAAAAAAATAGCTTAGACACGTTATCATATTTCTATTTTTATTGTTGAATGCGGTTAGCACCAAGTCGAGAATTAATTGTAGCTTTTGAACTATTAAAACACATTTAATATTATAGCTTAATTATCTTGAGCTTCTGTGCAAAAAAAATGCATTGGTTGTGTCAAGCCGTCTTGAAGGACTAAAACAAAAAAATTATATACTTTTACGACTTACGGATTCCTAAATATTGCAGTGGACATAATTGCCCCAGTGACGAAATTGCCCCACTCTCCCCTACTGCCTTTTTATACCCTTTACTCGTAGAGTAAAAGCTGCAAAAGTATGTAACAGGTAGAAGGAAGCGTGTCCGACCCCATATATATATTCTTGATCAGGGTCACTAGCCGAGCCGATCTAGCCATGTCCGTCTTCATGTTGGTCTTCCTACGCAGCGTAAGTTTGTTTTATCGAGGTGCCACGCGCCCCCATAACGCCCACAATCACCTTTATCGATTTTAAAATGTGTCTTGCGGTCACTTCTTTTAAGATTTAGAAACTGTATAAATGTGTGTTTATTAATACCTATCGAAATGTAGAAGACATTTTTTAAATCGAACCATTAATTAAAAAGTTATGCGCAATTTTATATCTCCATCTCCCCCGCACTGCTACCTGAGTGACGGGTTTCAGATAGTCGGGACACCCGACTATAGCGTTCTCCCTTTTTTTATTGTTTCGCAGAATACATTTAATGCTTATTGGAACGATCTGCAAAGGTATATCAACAAGAGCAGTACTTTTTCTTTAAATAAAATCTAAAATTTAGTAAAAAGTTCGTGGCAATCGCCTATAATGTTTTCTCTTGTCTTATTTTGGTTTGTTTAATTTTTCAGGTGAGCTCCGTGCTGCTTTACGGAGTGCCGATTGTGTCATTATACATCGAGGGCCAGGAGCGCCTCTGCTTGGCGCAGATCTCCAATACTTTGCTGAAGCAATTCAGTTACAACGAGATACACAACAGAAGAGTTGCGCTTGGCATTACCTGTGTACAATGTACACCCGTCCAATTGGAAATACTGAGGAGAGCTGGCGCCATGCCAGTGAGTTCCCGACGTTGTGGAATGATAACCCGAAGGGAGGCGGAGCGACTGTGCAAGAGTTTCCTGGGCGACAATACACCTCCGCGGCTACCCGACGACTTCGCCTTTAACGTCCAGCACAAATGTGCTTGGGGCTGCCGTGGATCCTTCCTACCCTCTCGCTACAACTCATCCAGGGCCAAGTGCATCAAGTGCTCGTATTGCGGAATGTTCTTTTCGCCCAATAAATTTATTTTCCACTCACATCGCATAACAAGCAATGACAGGTATGTCCAGCCCGATGCGGCGAACTTTAATTCCTGGCGTCGGCATATGACACTGAGTGGAAATGCGTACGATGAGAAGATAATACACGCGTGGGAAGATGTCAAAGCCATGTTCAATGGCGGCACACGAAAGCGGCTCGTGAGCAGCAGCATTAATAGTCGAAGCCTGGGCTCGCCAACGCCATCGGCGGCCGTCAGTTCCTGTAGCTCCCCAACGAATCCTGAGCGAGACGTCAAGGAAGGCGACGGCGAATCGGAGTCGCCGGAGTTTCCACAACGTCAGATGGACAGTCAGTACAACTATAGTACCGTGGCTGCAGCCGCCGCTGTAGTTGGAGTAACTGCAGTAGCAGCCGCAACTGTCGGCGTTCCGTTCAACTTGCACGGCTCCACAGTCCTGTCACCTTTGCACTCGCTTCGGAATGAACGGGACCTTTCCCTTATGCCAATTTCCAGAAACTTTGTAGTGGACTACATGTGGCAGCACAAGGATCAGCACTATCAACAGCAGTATTCAAAAAAACTTGGTAGCGGCGACCCCAGCGAACAAAGTCTGGACCTTGAATCCTGCCCCCGATCATGGGTTAGACCCGACACGAATGTTCCAGTAACGACTGGAAATTCCGTTCGACTTTCGGATAATACTTCTTTCAACATAAAAAACGAGTCGCACTCGTCTATTTGTGGTATTATTAAAAACCGCAAGCTATCTGGAGTTGCGAACAGCGGGCTAAACCTTTCCGATTATAACATCCCCTCGATTCTTAACTGCTCTGCGTTCAAGCCAGTCGTCGCTTCAACAGCGATTGTGTCAACTTCCTTATATACGAGATCTAGTGATTCAAAACGAATCGATTATATCCACCCAACACAGTCTACAAGAACTACAACGGTTCTAACCCATAACAGTATTTCAGGTTCCTCGCACCAGATAGTAGGCCATGAGACCTTTTCGCCAATTTTAGAGAAAATGGTACCTAATACGGAAAGTAAGTGGAATATTTAACCTTGAGTCCTGCGATACACACCATTTCCAATACACACCATTTCCAATCTAATTTTGTAATAATAATAATAAATCAAATATTTAATCAAATTTTCAGGAAAGTCAACAGCTTCTGTTTTAGCCAACGGTGTCACCAGGAATATAGAAGATAATGACGAGGATGACGAAGTAGTGGATATCGAGACAACGGAGGATGAGGGTAAATTCATAGTTCAACATATTGACGCCTCTCGCACGTCACCCGATATTGTAACTGAAAGCGAAAGTACCAGCCTTTCTCCGTCTACAAGTACAAATATAGATGTAGAAGCGGACGTCGAAGTAGATGTCATTACAACAGACGCTGAAGATCAACTAGAGTTAAATGCCAGCAGATGCTCAATTGAAAATACAAGTCATACATTATCCATATTTCAAACTGAGAAAATAAAGATGTCTGGTTCATCTCCAAATTCAAAAACCATGTTAGGCGGCAATGAAGTAACAATATCGGAGGTATGACTACTACTTGATTCTCGTTTTGTTTTAATACTATGTTATGAGTGAAAGATTTTGTTGTTGACTTGCGTTTATATTAACAAAAAAATGTGTAAAGAACTAATTGATTTCCTGCAAAAAAAAGAAAACGTCTTAGAATAAATGGAGTAGGTCTGATTTTTCTAATTGTGTTCCTCTGATGTTTCAATCACTGGAGACGGCAGTACACGCAATGACGAATCAAGCCGGAAGTGTGCGTAACGTGACGTAACTAAATTATATATATAGCCATAGCCGCGGCATTAAAAATCTGCAACGATCAATCTTTAATTTGGTCTCCTATTAATTTAAAATTGTCTAAAGAGAAATTGCGGATAAACTAATAACAAATTCGAATTTCTTCCTATATCCCGGCACATCTCAATTGGACCAGTTTTCGTTTAATTTTTAAGTCAATAGGTCAGAGCTTAACTTTGCCATACAGACCAATATGATCGGATAAGTAATAACAGCGCAGCAGCTCGAAAAAGATGAAAAATTTGTTTTTTGGTCCACTGTAAGTCGGCAGTATGCATCGTAAAAAACTCGAAATTAATCCTTTGAAAAATCATAATGGGTACAAACCTAATACAAACCTTCGCGCGGCGAAGGAAGACCAAGCCCAAATCCCAACCTTCTAGCTTTTGTAGTTTCCGAGATCTCAGCCTTCACACGGACAGACAGACAGACAGACACGGCTAGATCGACTCGACTAGTGATCCTGATCAAGAATATATGTACTTTATGGGGTCGGAAACGCTTCCTTCTACCTGTTACATACTTTTGAACGAATACAATATACCCTTTTCTCTACGAGTACCGGGTATAATGAGTGGTATTTTCGTGATCTAGGGCTTCAACACTAACAGACTTTGCAATCAATTGCTGTAGAGCATTTTGGCTGTGTGACGAACAATTCTTATACATTTTAAACAAAAGAACGCTATCGTGCCCCGACTGTCGAGGGAGATGGAGATATGAAACTTTGATCGGGCATAATTTTTTAACGAACGGTCCGATTTTAAATATACATTAGGTATAAACAAACCCAAAAAAATTGCATTTATACTTCTCCGAAATCTTTAAAAATGTGGGCGCCAGGTACATTTAAAAATCGTTTGTGGGCGTTAGAGGGGGCGTGGCGCTCGGCTGAAATAAACTTGCGCTGCGTAGGAAGCCCAAGAATATGTTTTGGTCCCAACTTTCTAGCTTTTGTAGTTTCCGAGATCTCAGCGTTAATACGGACGGACAGACAAACGGACAGAAAAACATGGCTATATCGACTTGGCTAGTGACCCTGATCAAGAGTTGATGTACTTTATGGGTTCGGAAACGCTTCCTTCTCCCTGTTACAAACTTTGGCACGAATGCAATATACCCGTTTACTCTACGAGTAACGGGTATAAACATATTTTCATTCGGCACACTACGAGAAAAAATATTTGTAAAACTTTGTTGGAATCAGTTTAAAGAAAATCTTTGAAAACGGTTTGGAAAATGTTTTTTTTATGACTCGTTTCGATCGGACTATCCTAGCAGATTAGTCCTTCGGCTATATATATTTCTTTCCTAGGGCACTCTCCTGGTGTGATTCGTAACTTCGTGGAATGATGTCCACAGTGATATAAATATAAGTCCTTTAAAAGTTTTAATTAGGACATTTACAGCTGTTTAACCTTAAAAAACTATGGAAACTCTGACCTTGAAGCGACCTTAGCATTTCAAACTCATAAAAAAAAGTTACCAAATATAATACAATAAAAAATACTTACTTTTAAAAATATCTTTCGTTTCAGGACTCGAAAGGATTTAATGCGCATTTAAAAATTATAACTCGTCGAAAAAACGATAAAATGCTTACAGATCGAAGTTTTTCCAAAAAATCAGTTTCAAAACTTGTTGATAAATCGATTTCCAAGAGTTTAGCTGCTAAAGAAGTATCATCTAGCTTGCAAATACAGCAGCGTGTTGCCTTTCCAGTATTTTTAAAATCACACTTGCACTCTTTTCGACCACAACAATCTCGGCAAGCGACCTTCAGCCCTAACTCTCTGGCGGAGTCCAATAAGTGGAGTTATCCAATCGGCAGTATTGGCCCTGTATGTTGTTATGAAACTTCCGCAAACGAAAATTGTGTAGATTTTAAGTAACTCTATATAAAATCACTAATAAGTATGACAATTTATAGCAACTTTCTAAATGCATTGTTTAAACTTTCACGTAAATGCTCATTAAAAGAATCGGAACAAGAATGTATAATATTCTAGAGTACTGCGAAGATAATATGATTTTTGAATTATTTTTATCGGTGCCTGAAAAAATAATTTAAATAATTTAAAAATATTAAAAAAATAATAATAAATGAATTGCTTCATATTGAACGGTATCATCTATTTAATTTTGTGGTCGGTAGCTTCCTATGATGTGGGCAGATATGTACATACATATGTATCTCTGCACATTCTGTGCCACCACAAGCACAGTATGCAACAGCATGCTGTGCACACAAAAAAAAAACTTGGTAAAATCAACTGTAATAATTGTCAAACAGGCCCCAACCAGCAAAACTGTCAATTCTACTAAGTAAATAGTCATTTCACAACAACAAAATTCACACAATTAGCGAAGACACAAACCCAAAGCAAAAACAAAATACACGTAACTATCACTATGGACGGCAGTCCATGTAGTGACGAAGCGCACCAGGAGAGTGTGCGAAGGCGACTACTATATATACACGAAGAAATGAAAATCTACTGTGATGGTCCGATCATAATGAATAATACACCTATCGAAAGGTATTGCGAAAACTAACAGGATTGCATACCAAGACTTTAAGAAAATCAATTGGCTTGGGAGAGAGAGCGGTGAAAGTGAAAAAGTGAAAATTTCGAAATTTGGAGCTGTTGGGGCCGGTGGGGATAAATGCCCCCTCGCAATGTTTTAGTTGTATTCCTTTTGAAAATACCCGTCGAATGAGGGGTCATTTGTCAAAATCCGACTCTCCGTTCAAAAGTTATAGCCAAAATAAGATTTTCTTCTTCTTCCCAAAATGAAAATTTAATTCTGTTTGTCCACTTGTCCACTTGTCCACTTGTCCACTTGTCCAAAATATGTTTTTTAAGTTCTGAAAATTTGATATGACGTTCATCACATCGATATAAAAAACTTTTGTTCTACCACTTTTGGAAAAACCCGCTAGTTTAGCGGGAAAACAGCTATAAGTAGCTAAAATTCGGAAAGCCGTAACTTCTATACTACTAAAGCTACAGGCTTGTGCTGCATCTCGTTTGAAAGGTATTTTTAAATGCTATAAACGCCTTCTATATGCAATTTGTGTAAATGTAATACTTAAAAAAATATGAACAAAAGACAATTTTTTAAAACTTTTTTTTTAGCTTTTTTTTATTTTTTTCAAAAACGGCTCTAACGATTTTCTTTAAAACCTTAAACTGTATAGCCCTTGAGATTCCTTAAATTTTGGTATATAACACATTACTGTAAAAAGTCACGTTTAAAAGTTATTTTTATTCGAAAATAGCCACTTTTGCCAGCTCGAACAATTAACGCTCCCTGAGTATTGAATTTTGTGGGAGGGTATCCGAACTGTACTTTAGGGTCATGGAATCAGTAAATTTGCACTTAAGAGTTCCATATAGGAATCTTTTGTTCTACGACTTTTGGAAAAAGCCGCTACTTTAGCGGGAAAAAGCTAAAAATAGCTAAATTTCGTTAGTTTGTAAGTTCTACACTACTAAAGGTACAGACATGTACTATACCTCGTTTAAAAGGTATTTTGAAATACTTCAACGCCTTTTTAACTTAATTTGTTAAAATACAATAGTTTAAAAATTATGATTGACCAATTTAAATTTAAATGTATATATTAGCTCCTATGAGAGCAAATGTAAACAAACAAAAACTTCTGATATCAAATAAAAACACCTCTTAACGAGGTAAAAAACTAGTGACGACCGCACCTTCAACATACAAAAGTTCTGATATCAACATTTGTGACGAAAAATTATTACACTCGTCATTAAATAGACTTTCTAATCTTTTCTCATTCGTCACGCTGCAATAGAAAATGCCTGTAAGGGGAAAAAGGCTGGAATAGTTTGCTAGGGCGGGCCGAATGAGAAAATATTAGAAAGTCTATTTAATGACGAGTGTAATAATTTTTCGTCACAAATGTTGATATCAGAACTTTTGTATGTTGAAGGTGCGGTCGTCACTAGTTTTTTACCTCGTTAAGAGGTGTTTTTATTTGATTTTAATAGTTACGTAACTATCTTTGTTGGTCAATTTTACCAAGCACATTTTTTTGTGTGTGGGTTAAATGACCACATTGTCTGACACTCAGACATTTTTTAACTGTATTTAAATTAGAAAACAAGTATTGTAGACTTATTAACAAAACACAAATACTGTTATGCCTTAAACTTAAAAAGTTAATAATTAACAGTGTTAGTTAAGATAACAGCTGCAAACTCACCTGTTGCACACGAAGGCAAGTACGCTGGATTTGCACATTTTTGGCCGTGATCCGTGCCGTGGTCGGCATAATTATTTTGACAGATTTTAAAGTTAAATCTTCTCATATTTTGAACTTATAATAGAAACATTTTGGCACCTATTGAAAGAGCACTTCAATTCCGTTTAAATTACACAACAATGTTCTGAACCCATTAAGCACCCTTTAAAAAGTTAGAAAATTAGAAAATGTATTGTGAAGGTCAAATTTTCAACTTTTTTCCTGGGGCTTAAAACAAAAATGTTTTGATGCATAGTTTTTCCCCAATCAAAATTAATAATAACTGCAAAAAAAAATGCAAAATATTTTTCATTGTGTTTTTTATGATTTTTTGAAAATAGCTAAAAACAAGAAAAGAAAAGATTATATACCCATGCAGATCATTCTATCAATATACAAATCGCAAAAATGTTAAATTCCCTATCGTTCCCGATGGTTTCTATGGCAGCTATATGATAAAGTAGTTCGATCTTTTTATACCCTTGTAGAGGGTATTATAATTTCAGTCAGATGTTTGCAACGCAGTGAAGGAGACGTTTCCGACCACATAAAGTATATATATTCTTGATCAGCACCAATAGCCGAGTCTATCTAGCCATGTCCGTCTGTCCGTCTGTCCGTTTCTATGCGAACTAGTCTCTCAGTTTTAAAGCTATCGCGATGAAACTTTCCCGAAAGTCTTCTTTCTATTGCAGGTAGTACATATGTCGGAGCGTGCCGGATCGGACCACTATATCTTAAGGCTCCCATAGGAATATTCAAACATATATAAGAAAATTCTTGTTAATTTGTAGGAAGTAAGCGTTTTAATTCTTGACTACTTAAAAAAAAATTCAAAAATAGGAACACTGAATCTGGAATCCCTGGAACTGCACCGAGTGAGTATTACTTTATCTGCAAGGGTATATAAGCTTCGGCTGGCCGAAGGTAGCTTCCTTTCTTGTTAAATTTAAAATCGAAATTTGGAAATATTTAGAAATAGTCATAACCCAGAGTGGAAGAGAATGTAATAAAAATCCACAAAGATATAATTTATTTCCTAATAATTTCCATGGTATGGTATAGTGATCAGATTTTTTAAATATTTAATTCGAAATTCAGAAATATATACAAGAGAGAACCCTATAGTCGGGTTGGTGTCCCGACTATCTAATACCCGTCACTCAGCTAAAGGGAGTGCGAACGCTGTACTCGGGTTGATGTCTCGTCTATAATCGTAACTCAGCTAAAGGGAGTGCGAGGGAGATAGATATATGTAGATATTTTGATTGCGTATAACTTTTTAATGAATGGTACAATTTGAAAAATGTCTTCTACATTTTGATAGGTATAAATATATACCACAAAATTGCATTTATACTTCTTGGAAATCTTTAAAGGTGTGGGCGCCAGACAGATTTTAAAATCGTTAGTGGGCGATTGTGGGCGTTAGAGTGGGCGTGGCGCCCGGCTGAAATAAACTTGCGCTGCGTAGGAAGCCCAAGAATATGTGTGGGAAATCTCAACATTCTAGCTTTTGTAGTTTCCCAGATCTCAGCGTTCATACAGCTTGACGAGTGTATATATCCATCCACTCGCACTCCCTTTAGCTGAGTAACGGGTATCTACTAGTCGAAGTTTTGTGTAGCATAAAGAAGCTTGCGCTGAAAAACTTTTGTTCTACCACATTTTGATAAAAACGCTAGAAAAAGCTAATAGGTTCTTCCCACAAAGCTCCTTCCACCATCTACCATCCGTTGAACGGATGGTTCGTAAGATTTTGCCGTTCCGCCATCCAATTTTGACGGACTTTGACGGGCTCCTTTATGCGATAGTTAGGCGATGGTTTCTCGGTGCAACTCTGAATTCTTCCTCTTGACTGTGAAAATTGGAACGATGACTGCGAGAACAAATCAAATCGATGGCGGGAAAAAATTAAATAATGCTTCAGCTCATTGTTTTTTGTGTTTTTTTTTAAATTATTTGTAGTTTGTTATGAGCAGAAAAGCGTTTGCAAGCAGGTTGCTATGTGTGGGCCAAAATGTAAGCTGTTGTGCGTACGAAAAAATCAATGTTTGCAGCAAAGTGTCAAAATATGTTCTGCACTTCGTAAATATAACTAATATTAATTAAAAGTTTACTTTGTACTCCTATAAAGTTCCAAAGTTGCTATAATTTACCAAAAACAGCATAAATTTGGTTTTGTTTACAAATTTTGCATGTTAATATTGGCTAGGCAGAGGCGTAGTAAGAGCGGAGTGTGGGATACGGGAGGTTAGGCTCACCCCCAGTCAGCAATATGTATGCATACTCGTTGTAGGATATGTTATAAACGTTCAGATATGTTTTTAAACCATTTTGTTAATCTATTTATTGTATTATTCCAGGGAACGAAAATAACTGTTATTTTTGTTTTTTTAAACAAAAAAATCAACGACAAGGAAGACTCATAAAAAAAAAAAAAACTATACCACTGTCATTATAAAACATTGTATTTTACATATTCGCAATGATTTTTATTTTTGCAATTTTTATTTAAAACTCAAAAAATAATCGTTATTCTCTGAGTTTTATATAAAAATTGACAAATAACACTTATTCTCTGAGTTTTATTTTCCGCTTGGAAAATAACAGTTATTCCTTGAGTTTTATATAAAAATCAAAAAATAAAACTTATTCTCTGAGTTTTATTTTTTCGATCAAAAATAAAACTCAAAATCGTTTAGTGGCGGCTGTGT